AAAGAACAGGAAGTCAGCTGGGGTCAGATGACCCCAGCAAGACAATCAATCATCCAAACGTAACTTGAACGTATCCAGAGTAGGAGCTTGTACCACTTCTGGGGGCAGTCTATTCTAGACTCTGAAGACTTGGACAGTAAAGTTCTTCCTTATGTCCAGTCTAAAACAGCCTTCCAGCAGTTGGTGGCCACTGGACCTTGTTTTCCCCTGGGGTGCCCTGGTGAACTGACACTCTCCCAGATCTTGATGCACACCCTTTATGTATTTATAGGCTGCCACCAAGTCCCTCCTAAGCCTATGCTCTTCCAAGCTGAGGAGTCCCGTAACTCTCAGGCTCTCCTTATAAGGCCTGCTCTCTTGACCTCTGATCATGCACATGGTTTTCCATTAGACTCTCTTGAGCTTCTTCATGTCTTTTTTAAATTGTGGACCCCAGAACTGGATGCAGTATTCCAGCTGCGGCCTCACCACGGCCAAATAAAGCAGGAGAATGACAACTTGGGTCTTGTTTGAGATGCATCGGTATAGATGCAAGCCAGGGTTTTATTTGCTTTGCCAGCTGTGGGATTGCATTGGTATTTCATGATTGACCACAAGATGAATATGACCCCCAAGTCTCTTTAATGCTAGTCTACCTTGATTAACAGCCAAATTCTGCTAAACTAATCTTGCTGATACTTAAGACAGATTATTTAACAGCTTTCCTCTGATGGAATAACTTTATCCACCACTGAAATGCAACAGCTTATTAAAAGACAGGGGTGCTGGCTTTGGGAAATAAACACGCATAAAATCAAGAACATCTAATTTATTTATACTGCATGGAATCCAACATTTAACGTATGATTACATTAGACAAGTCATCTCTCAACAGTGACAAGAATATGCTTGACAAAATTATGGAATCTGTAAAACAACTTACAGTCTTTTCCATTTATTTTGACACACTGCAGCAAGAATTGGTCAAAACAGCCAAAGGTCTCCCCAATTCTAGCAGCCCATGGGATGAGCATATCTAAGGAACCCCCATTCTGTAGCCAACAGCATAAAGTGGAGTGATGAGGCATCACGTGTCCCACCTGCTTTCGAATCCTCAGCCAAAATGATCGAGTACTTATTTACAAGTGGGCAACTTTGGGAGTCCACAACTCCTGTCTCTGGAGCAGGATGCCCGAGTACTCTGCCACCAGACCCCCAAGTTAGAAACAGGCATATCTGCAGGAATAAAAAAAAAACAAAAAAAAACACTACTTCATACAAAATACAACTGAGCTATCAAGATGATCCAGAGATCAAGAAAAACCTTCTGAATGAGTAGCTCTGCAATTAGAAAATGCAGCAAGTGTTCCTAAATGCATCTAATAAAATAAAAATTACAGAAATACATTTGTTACTGATCAAATACATGCTTTGAGGACCAACTGTATTTAGGATGTTTCCATTCTACAGGGGAAGAGGTGGAGAAAGGCATTTATTTAGTTTAGAAACAGCTGCTTCATTCGCAATTTAGTTTATCAGCATCTTTACTGAATAGATGATCATTAATGACAATTTTCTTAAGATGGTTGTTCATTTGTAATATTTTAATAGAAGCTTATCACAAGCCTATTTATGTCCAAGTTTACATAAGTACTTTAAAGACCATTAAACTGCTTTAGATATTTCAAGAACTCACTTTCATTGCAAGCATGTTAAAAAGCAAATACATCTACCTTTCATATTAAAAAAAAAAAAAGACACAGGAAGTTTGCTAGTTATTTTAAAAACAAAACTATTGTTCAGGTTTCCTATTCCCGAGCATAAAGCAACCCGAGACTCCTTCTGCAATGAGTTCCATACAAACTGACACCTGCATTCATGCAGAGCCATTTGCAGGAGCAACCCTAAGCTTACATATTCAGAGAACTTTGACCTGTATACATTGGGCTAAAATTGAGACATTAAGTAGTCACTATACCTCATTTTATACTATACTATAATATGCTGATGTTGGGCAGCTGTGTGCATGTATAACTATCAGTGAAACATTTGTTTCAGGGGATGGGGGTGGGAAAAAAAGACAAGCAGCAATACAGAACCAGGTAGACATAAAAATAGCTGAGTCCTGCAGCCAACTGGGCCCCAATCCACCATTAATTCCTTTAGTATGTGTTATTGAGGCGTGTATCCCATTCTACATAGAAAGCATTAACCTGAAAAAAAAAAATCTCTCTTCACTCCTTTTGTTTGTCACATCCTTACATTTTATAGTAGTATCTGAATGTATAAATACTTAATGCACAGTGCAAAAATATTTATGATTTGTGTTTCCTGAAAGTGAGAGCTTTAAACAAGGCCAAACGGAAGTATGGAAAATGGATATCAACTGTCCTGAAAAAGTGCTTGAATGCTACTCTTAACAAACTCAAATACTGAAGAGGTTTATGTCAGGACATGCACTAAGGCTATGAACAGATGGAGCATTTATCCCTCGGCGAGTTGTGCCTGTGTGAGTCCCGGAACAGAGAAGTGCTGAGACCAGCATGTACACACTGTCCTTCCAACCATGGTCTGGTAAGTGGCTGAAGGCACTGCCACCAATTCAATCCCAGAACAACTGTTCAGATGCACTGTATGATGGCCCAGGACAAACTGTGATCTCTTCTTACCCTAGGAGCCTTTTTAGTATTTGTCCCAGAATACCACAAACACAGACATGTGAATAATTGCACTCTGTCCTGGAATAAAGTGTTTGTCCCCGAAGAAACCATGACACTCATCTGCAGCCTCCAATCAGAACTGAGGTAGCTGCAGCCACACCCAGAACATGACTATCAGCTAGTGCTACCATCTTCATTCCCACAATGTGGACAGAGCCAGAGCCCCCAAATAACTCAACCAGAACATAACTGAAGCCTAGCAGAAAGCCAATCTGTTCACTTCAAAGCAGACTGTCCAACAACTAACTGGCCCCTTCCAGAAAGTACATTGGCAGACTACACATAGCAGCAATCCCCAGAAGGCATACCGTGATGCTTCTGCCATGCTTGCGGCATGCTAATGTGTACCACAAAAACCGGGCTGGGTCAGGCCCCGGCCACACCAGATCCAGCTGGTAGGTATGTGCTGACAATTTTAATCCAGAAATTAAGCATGTCCCAGGTATCAAAACCTGGGCAGACACTGACACCGAGCATGGGCTGCAGGGTGAGAGCAGGGGCATAAGGATGCCCCCGAGGTGGGGCCGCCCCAACTGCCCCCTCAGCTCCACAGCGGGTTCAACTGCCAGGCAGCGCAGAGCAGACCTGACACAGGGAGGGACCGGGCAGACGCCCCCGCAAACCGCCCTCACGCCCCCACCACAGGGCCCAGGCGGCCCTAGCAGCCGCACGCCGGTCGAGACAGGCCAGGAGGGCTGGGGCCTCCCAGCCCCCGAGCCCGGTCGCAGCAGGCCGAGGCGGAGGCGCGGGGAAGCCGGCGCACGACGCTCACAGGCGCTCCCGGGCCCGCACTCACCGCGGCAGGCACGGCCCCGCAGGCAGAGCCGGTAGAGGCCGCCCCAGCGCGGCCCGCACCCGGCCAGAGCCGGCATCATCCTCCTCCGCCTTCACACGCAGGGCCAGGCGCCGGTAGCGGGAGGACTGGAAGGGACGGGACTAGCCTGGGCGGGGCGAATCGCCCCGCGCCGGCCGCAAGCCCCCTCACCCCACCCAGGGCGGGTGGGACCCGGATGTTAAACAGCGCCGGCTCCGTCCACTCGTCCCTATTGCGCATGCGCGCGGCCCCCACCGGTGAATTGCCAGGACTGAAGAATGTGCGGCGTCACCTGACGGCCTGGGCGGTGCCTGCTCGCTCCCGCCCGGGGTCCGGGGTGCACCTCGCAGACTCGCTTAGCGCCTGAAGGAGCGCAGGTGCCAACCACCCGGCAGTCCTCGTACGGAAGGAGCGGTGGCTACCCGGTGCCGCCGGGTAGCCCCAGCCCCGTGCTTCCGCTCCCCAAGGAAGAGCCTGAGCTTTCCCGGGGCAGCGCCGTGTCCCGGCCCCCGCGAGGGAAGCGCTGCCGGCCTCCGAGGGCCGCCCTTTTAGGCAGAGAAGCTGGTGTAGGGTCTCCTCTCCGTGGAGGGGGCAGCCGGCAGTATCCCTGCCCGGGAGTCATCGCGCCCCACAGTAGAGACAAGCGACACGATGTATTACAAAAACAAATCAAGCGCAAGAAACCAGTTCCTGAGCCACAGGCACAGCTCGAGAAAGCACCAGACCACGGACCTGGTCTGATCCCGCAGGGTCAGTCTGAAGCTGCAGTCCAGGTCCAGCTTCAGGGCTCCAAATGCAGCCTCTGAGCCTGCCCATGAGAACCTTCTTCACCCCTGAGCTCGGTTTTCCAGCCTCCCTGGCTTGGGGACCCAGCCCCTCCTTTGCTCTTTAGTCTTCCCAGGTACAAATTAGGCCTCTGCATTTTTACCCATCTGCATTTTGCGTAGCAGCTTCTGTTCCATCCAGGAGAACACAAAACACCAGACTCCCCCACTGCTTGCAAAGAACATTTTTTCACAACAATTGAGTTGGTCTAATGAACGCTATCCCATTTACCCAAAGAGTCTTGTCTGCCCAGGTACAAGTCATACACTCAAGGCAGGCTTAAGTGCCTTTGCCAGGCAGGCTAGCATAGTGTAAAAGTGATGCAAGCATGCTGGTCCAAAACCAACAGAGGCAAGGATTTCTTAAGGCAATCTTTTTTTATTGGGCCAACTATAAAGCTGGGCTAAAGTTAGACGAGCTTTTGCATGCAAGACATTCTTCCTCCTGTCTGGCTCTTAACATGCTTCATTCATCACGTCCAGGAGGGGCATAGATACCTAGATTTCTTTAATGCAATAGGCACTGCAGTCTCTGCTGTTTGAGTTTGACCAACTAGGTGCTAGGCTTCTTTTAAAATGCAAGTATATCATTGCTTCTTGGCAGTCACATAGAGGACCAGTGCACAAGCTAAGTCACATGCTAATTCTCAACCTTTATGGGGTACTGGCTGTAGCTGTGTTGTTCTAAGACAGGGGCAGGCAATTAGTAAGTGGCCCTCTGCCCAAAATGAGTTTCATCAAGCCATCAAGGGCCACATGACAGGCAGCCAGAGGCAGATAAATATTAATTTTCTAAAATTTTAGGGGCTCCACGGGCCAGATAGAATGGCCTAGCAGGCTGCATTTTGCCCACCCCTGTTCTAAGGACATAAACAGATAAGGTTCTTTGGGTAAATCCAATATTTTTTATTAGACCAACTAAAATAGTTGGGAAAATTCTTCTTTGCAAGCTTTTGAATACAAAACACCCTTCTTCAGGCTGAGGAAGCATCAACCTTTGACTCTAAGTGTGAACAGTTGGGGGGCTGTTCAAGTTAATCACTCCCACCTTACTAACACAACCTTAGCTGAACTATAAAGATGCATCAACATTACAGTTAATATCAAATACCATAACAAACAGGCACAAGAACCATACAACTGAACACAGCTTCACACTA